CGAGGCAATACGCACACTATACACATATGCCAATAAGAGATTGATCAATTACAGTCCTAAACATCAACAGGAAGATTAAAGTAAACAATACCAAATAAATTTAAGCTTCGCTCCATTGTAAAAACAAGTAGTTATCAGGACTTAGTAGCTAAGTGGATGAAACTATGGCGTTTGAAGCAAACGGTACTGGGTTTGAGTCCCAGAGTGAATATGAACTCTGAGATGTAGGTACATTCAATTGATAAGTCCCGAATAGGACAAAACACGCGTTCTAGATACCATCCATTTCTACATCTTTCCTTATACATTAAATTATATGTAATTAATGATTGAATGTTTAATTTATCCGCATGGTTAATCTGAACACTAAAATAGTTTGTCATTTTATTTATTTATATTCATAAATAGTAAAACTATTGTTCAAGCATATATAAGCTCGACTAAGTCAAGTGTAATGTCACAATAATAACAATAATAATAGTAATAATAATAATAATGATTAGATCATATGACCTATAAATGAACAGCTTGTATATCTATCTCACTATCTCTTTCATTCATTATTCGTCTCTCGTTGTCACTTTGCTTGTTTGCTTGTTTTTTTTTCTTTATCTTGAATCTTGTTGTTTAGTTATTCATGTTTTAACTTATCTATTTATATTCCTTTATACAACTATAACCATTTCCTATGTGAGCTATTCTTTTATTTTAGAAAAACAAAACACAAAATATTCTTATATATATATGGTTGTTTACCCTAGAAAAAAGTCAATGAAAAGGTCCACGAAAGTCTAGAATAATTTGTTGATCTTTTTGTGGAGCTATCATTTAAACGGAAACATCATGAAAAGATTATGTAGATACATGATTGAAAAGCTTAAACAATCATAAGAAAGGTATACATAGACAAATAAGGAAAAAAGAATCTCTTAGTGAATATAAAAAGATATAATGAACTTAGAGGTTGACACAAATATCCACTAGTCGGAGTTCCCATACTATTTCTACAAGGTGAGATAAGATAAATGAGTAAATGACGAACTACTCAAAGAAAAAAACAACAACTTTGGTATTAAAAGTGGCTCAACCTTGAGAACATAGTTCGAAAAAACTAGATGAAATAGTATATATGAAAGAATACAACATTTCGAGTAAATGTATATGGGCCGTTATGACTAGTCCAGAGCTATATTACACAGCATCTAGAATCATCATTCATGGATATCTCGAGAACTCCAACACAGTAGTCTTCATCCACTAATTTGTCTTAGACCACCGTTTAGTCACTTCATGGTTCTTATCACCTTTAGCACTTTCTAACTACACTAATAATTTAATACCGATGTAGGTTATTGATATTTATGTATTAACATACTATCGAATGTAACACAATGTTTATGCATTTATAACTATATAACATAAAGAATAATTGATTTAAAAACAATTGTTGAATGAAATATACTACTTTAATGTTAAACAGTAGTTTCATTCATATATATAAAATAATGTTTAAAATCATGATTATTAAATGCATTAAATCAAAGCTAAACTAAATATATCCATAAAATGATGATATATTTATACGTTTAACCCTATATATATTGATGCTTACGAATTATTATAAACATAAACATTGAAAATCAATAAAAATCAGTAGTATCACCCTACATAAGTAGAAAATAATGAATCCTTCTAATAAAAACAAACAAACAAAAAGATTATCACAAAACTGCTGAAGAGCGATGTCATACTAACATAAAAGGAAATTAATCTATAATACTGACTAGTTAGTTAACTGATTTATTTTAATGTTTACACATACATCTATATATATCTATGTATCTACCTATCTATCCCTCCCTTTCTTTCTTTTATACATAAATGCAAATGGATACACTCAAACACACACACACATACATACATACATACATAAACATGCATAGAAACGTTTCATTTTAATGTGATGATTTCATTTATTAATATATATCCTTAGTGTTAGTTATCAAATATCAATATTTATTTATTTTAATACATTACCCTTATAAGTAGTATAGTGATCATTAAACAAATTAACAAAATTATTATCATTATTGTTCGTTTTTTTCTTCTTCTTCTTCTTTAGTTTATTCATTTCCTATTAAAGTTTCTATGGATGTTGTCAGAAGTCATCAGGAAATGAACTGTTCTAAGAAAATTACATGATAAAAAATGCATTATAATTATCTTATTACATTCACTAAATCTATTGTTATTATTCGTATCACATAATCTAGTATGACAATCTTTCTATTATGTCTTCTTCTATTACTTCTTCTTTTGTACCCATAGTTCTGGTTTGAGTTCATGGATAGTAAAAGCTTTGTCTATTTTTAGGCGTTGGATACGAACAATCAAAACTCTAGATCAATAGAATGATTACAGTCGATTAGATGTTTAAGTATACAGCTTATAACTGCTTCCTTTCATCCTTGTAGAATTAGGATATGTTGGGATATGTTATTGTATCCGATTTGATAGCGAGCTCTGGTTAAAACTAATGTCTTTAAAAAAATTATCATATATATGTATATATATAACAATAGCTAAAATCATAAGTCATTTGAAGCTAGACCAACGTGGAAAAACTGGGAGCACTGGACAGCCGTTTCATCCTGGTATGAGACTCCTCAGCAGTGTGTATCCACGATCCCGCCCCTCGCGAGATTCGAACCCATTCGTCTTCTTAATACACTATCGAAATTCATCAAAGGGACTAATTGCTCTAAATCAACTGTGCCTCTTTTCCTACTCTTAGTGACAAACTTTAGGGAAATGACTAAATAAATTCACTTGGTATTGTTTACTTGAAACTTCCCATAGACGTTTAGGACTTCGATTGATCAATCTCTTATTGGTGTATGTGCATACTGTGCGTACGCCTTGATGTTGCCTTAATTTACAAGCATTATAAGCAAAGATGGATAGTGACTAGCAGTGGAATCCAGGAAGCGCATTTCGTCCTATTTGCGACTGTTCAGCTGGATTTATCTGCATCCCAGAGTTGAAATTCAATCTGGGACTCCAACTAGTACCGTTCGCTTCAAAAACCATTGTGGATAAGTGTTGCTAAAATATATGCTCAAAATATATTAAAATGTAACCATGTAAATGTATACATAGTATACTGAGTAAATAATAATTTCTGGATATAAGAACATTTGAAATCAAAACTAATTTTCTATTATTGTGACTACTAAAGTTCATTTCTGTTAAAAAAAGATAATCACCGGATAAATTATTGGCTTTTATACCCATTTTAAAAAGGTAGAAACCATTTATATCATTTTAAACTTATTTGTATTGTAATTAACTAGAACACAAATGGCGATAATCGAATGTAATTGAACACAAATCTCAGAACGTCTTAGTAAAATCTGAGAACCATACAGTAAACAATCCATTTGGAAAATGTCAGTCAATCGTCTCAGACTTCATTGTTCTTTTGAATCCATACCAATCAATATCTGTTCTCATTCTCTTTTCTTCGAGCTTCTTAACTTTCTACCGCCAGACATTTCACCTGCGACTGATGATACATATTACTTATATCTGTCGATATCAGTAGCACACACCACAGTATTACTGCACTAGAAGTTTGAAAGGTGCAAAAATGAAAGGTGTGAAAAACTAACAATCCTGAGGGGAGGCTAGTGTGATGGTATATTTAAAAGACAGCTTTTTTATTGTTCATCATATTTAATGAATTGTTTTTTCTCGTTAGCATTTTAATTCAAAGGCCACATTCCTACAATTGAAGAACACATAGAACTCAAAACAACCGCGTGTCAATCAATATCAAAGTCACAATCTTCAATAGGAATGTCAAAGTAGTTCTACTGTACGGAGCTGAAACTTCGAGAACTACCATAATCATCATCAAGAAGGTACAAGTATTTATAAATAGTTGTCTATGCAAGATACTCAACATCTATTGGCCGGATACCACCTGCCACAGACTACTGTGGAAGAGAACAAACCATCTTCCAGTTGAAGAAGAAATTAGGAAAAGACAATGGAAATGGATAGGACATATATTACGAGACAAGCCCTAATTTGGAATCCTGAAGGGAAGCGAAAAAGTGGAAGGCCAAAGAATACATTACGTCGAGAAATAGAAGCAGATATGAAAAGAAAGAGTAAGAACTGAAAAGAGCTGGGAAGGATTTCCCAGGACAGGGTTGGATGACGAGTGCTGGTGAGCGGCCTATGTTCCTTCACGAGGAGTAACAGGCGTAAGGAAGTAAGTATCATATTTAATATGTTATGTTAACAGAAGAAATTGAACTGCTGATTGCTTACATTTCGTCAACATATTATCCATGTGTATTATTATGGTTCACATCATCAAAGTATGCTTTTCCTAATCATATTTTATTCACAATTCTTTATAATATTCATACAAGTCTTAGGTTCGATCCATCTTTTGGTTGTGGACACATATTGCCGAGAAGTTACATAATAATAAGTGAAATAACTATCTTGAATTTTCTAGTTTTTCAGTGAGTGATCAATTAAAGTCAGCCTATGATATAAGAATTAGAAACTTTTATTTACACTTAAAAATTTAAATCAACTACCGAATTAATTGAACTTTTACAAACTTCATTTCGTTTTCTGATTGTTAGTTTTGCATTTTAGCTGATGTCAATTAGTGATGAAAATCCTAAATCAAATTTCTAACCCTAATTATCAACTATTAATCACAATCTGTGCTCTTCACACAGCTTTATAATCCTTATTTAGTCCGTGGTAAATTGATGGACATTCTTAAAATCACTTTAGCATCGTTCAAAGTTCGTCCATAAATTATAGTCTCATCCGTTTGTGTAGTGATTCCCTTTTTAAAAAAAAGAAAAAGTCGCATTTATTCGACTCAAACACTGATAACATTGTTCAGAACGACAATGAAAACTTTGCAATGATAAAACATTCTGGATTACGTAACACATGAGTAACATAAACTACAATTTTAGAAATGTTTTTGACTCACCTTTAATAACTTTGATACAATCAGTATTCGGTGGATAATTATCTGGATATAATGGACTAGTGAATGTAAATAATGTTGGTTGTCGATTACGTAACACTGTTTTTAAACGTTGATTATAATCAAATAGCTGTGATTTATCTTGTTTTGGTAATTGCATTAATCCATTTAAACCAACAGGATCAAATTCAATTGTATTAACCCAGTTTGTTGGTTTATTACGATCCCGAAGGCTAGTACTTCCAGATAATGATGATGAAGTAGATGAGGAAGAAGATGATGAGGTGGAAATTGATGAAGAAGAAGTAGAAGAGCTTAATGTGTCAGAAGAAAGTGATGAGCTAGAAAGAGGTACTGATCTGGTATTCTCATTTAGATCATCCAAATAATATGAATTTATAAATTGATTACAAACAGTTGATTGATTAGGAAGACGATATAAATTCCAATAATCCATTTCAATTAATGAACCAATTATTAATTTATTTGATTTGATTAACTCTGTTTCACATTGTATATGATTAATGAGTAAAGCTGTAAATAATACAATAAAATGGAGAGAACTACAATAAACCAAGTGTTTTATTTATTCACACTTGAAGGAAAATTTTCTAACCAATAACTATATCATTGCATAGATGATGATATCAAGATTGTAAAGATTCTTTCAACGTTAAAGGAGCTTTCATCTAGGGTTGAAAGTTGCTTAAGTATTAATGAAAACTAAGCAAAAACATAAATTTACTTGGTGTTGTTTACTTGCATATCCTTTTTGTTATTTAGGACTACAATTGATCATTCTCTTGTTGGTATATGTGCATTCACTGCTAGCCACCATCCATCTTTGCTTATAATACTTGTGACTTAAGGCAATATCGAGGCAATTTTCACAGGATGCACATATGCCAACAACAGATTGATCAATTTCAATCTTAAAGAACATTTCAAAGATTCAAGTAAACAATACCAAGTGAATTTAAAATTTCACCCCATTGTACAAGTAGGTGGCTAACAGGACTTAGTAGCTAAGTGGATAATGCGATGACGTTTTAAGCGAACAGTATTGGTTACGAGTTTTATAGTGAACATCAACACTGAGATGTAGGTGCATCAGGCTGACGAATCCCAAATAACACGAAACGCACGTCCTGGACTCCACTGCTGGCCACTATCCAAATTTATTTATAAGAGAAAACTGATAAGTGCATTATCCAAATTCAGAACTCTTTGGCCATGTTCATCAGCAATGTTAACTTTCTACTACTAAGTTTATTTCAGTAGTTCACATTTTTACATTTAGTCCACGATGAACACATTTTTCATGTTGAATTAATATCTATGATAAACGTAGTACAGTAGTTATATTGTGTACACTAGTAACTTTCGTTTATTAGTTTATTCAGAAAAAACCATGCTCTTCTGATACAATTATGAAGAAAAACAACCTTAAATTCCCACTCATACAATGAAATGGAACTTAGTCCATATTAAGTTCAGAAAAAGTAGTTATTTCAAGATTTACGATCGAATTCGATACTCAAATTACTGTATGCTTCATTCAAGTAGCACTTCTAACATAGAAAAAAATCGTTAGTCAAAAAAATAGCTACTAGAAAAACGGTTTTGTCTAGAGAGATGAACGTTGAATATTCATTATCTACATGATATATTTTGTGATTGAATATTTAAAATCCAAAAATCTAATCGTTTTCATACTTTTGAATGCCAAACAGAGAACACAAGGTGGAAAAGACAGAAACTGGAAAATCAAAAGCTTCCTAAGAACAAGCCTCCGAAAACTTTTTTTCTCGTTGAATTATCGAAGACTTCTAATATTGTTTGATGAAGTACACTGTATTGAGAAAAGATATTTAGTCACAAGCAGCTCTCGATCATGAAACTGACACATGTTTCTTAATTAGTATATGAATGGTAAAATCATTCATAATAATGAATACTCAATTCAATAAGAAAACACTACTGAGGAGTCCTACAACAGGACGAAACGGCCGTCCAGTGCTTCCAGGTTTTCCATGGTGGTCTAGCTTCACTTGACTTATGATCTCAACTATTGAAATTACTACCATCTCCACAAAACCCTTACTGATACTAAACATTTATATCTAATCTTATGATTTATTTGGTAATGGTTATAAAGTTAAAATGAACCCTTGTTTTATTTTATACAGTATACTCGATTATAATGAAAGATTCTCAGAAAAGAACTGCTTTATATCATACTAAAATTTAATTGTATAATAGGTTGACTTGTAGAAATTTTAAAGTATTCATAAATGATGAATAGATTTAAACAATCAATTTAAGATTGACTTCATTGATTAACCAGTAGTTAACTGAGGCTAAGTGGATAGAGTGATGATGTTTATAGCGAACAGCATCGAGTTCGAGTCCTAGAGATCAAATGAGCTCTGAGATCTTCGTAAATCCATGTGATTTGTTTCCAGATTGGATGAAATATGCATTCTGTACTTGCAAAATTAGTTTCAGTATCAAATTTATTTATTTATTTATTTGAACACATAAATATTGGTACAAGAGAGCGCCAATATATATGCGCCACACAAAACAATGAGAATTCGAAGAGAAGTAGAAAGAAAAAAAAAAAAAAAAACTAAGGAACGCAAAAGAAAAAGAGAGTAATGACGAAGAGGTACAATCAGAAGAAATCTTTCAGGTGAAGGAGACACAACCACTTTTTATGAAGAAAGTAAAAGAAGGTTACAGCAGGATCGCCACTGGCTTCTATTCTGAGCCATATCTGATAACGTCTCTAGCCACTGTGTAGCACCATCTCTCGGACCCAACCAGGGAGTCGTGAAGGACCAACACAAGCCAGTCCTTTGCAGCTTTCTTTCATACCACGACACCATGTCATGCACTGACCACCTCTCCGCTTCTTCCAACCAGTCCCAGAGTCGGCAAATAATGCACGACGTGGAATTCTCTGGGACGACATTCGGAGAACATGTCCAAGCCACCGAAGTCGGTGTTGCGACTTCCACAGTATATATATATGTATGCTAAAAGAGACTGATCATTTGGATTCCTAAACATCAATGAGAGAATTCGAACAACTAATACAAATAAATATTCTCAATTAATTTCTAAAAATAGTGATTAGTTGCCATAAAAGTCTACGATCACCCTTCCTCTCATGATATCTCTTTTCGTAAACGATTATATTTAATTTATGAATTCTCCAGTAATATATATCAATCATCGAGCTGATGCTTTTTTAGCTTCCAAGAAGACGACAGTTTTCCAAAACGACTTTAGTTAAATCAAAGGTGCAAGATTGATCTTTTGGGAGGGCGAAGTGTTATGGATAGCCAACCAAAAGTAATCTAATAGAAAATTCAATCGATGCCAATCAAAAGTAATCTGAATTTCAAGTACATTCATTGGAGTCAATGGGTCCATTTCCTAAGGATAGAGTGTTATTTATATGAATGAGTATTTGTACATTTCATTCGGTAGCCCAATACACTCCTTGCTTAGTCTTGTGTTATTTCTGAAGTAGTCAGTTGGGGGATGTGTTTGCACTTAGCATATCGTATATCAGTATCCAATTTCGTGCAGCGCATGTCATAATCAATTTACATATCATAATTGCTTCCATTTATATTCTATCGATGCTTTTAAATGAGATCAAATGTTCAGCAAATATAAGTATATTTTTTTACAAAAAAAACAAAAAACGAAATTAAATTAAAAGAATTAATCCACAAGAGAATTTTTCTATATTTCAATGGATAATGAAAGAAAACGAATAAATCCGTCAAATAACTAAAATCATCATCATCAATGGAAGCTCCAATAACAAGAAGAATCATAATAATAGGACGTACACATATTAAACAGAAGTCATACTTATCAGTACGAAACACCCTAGGAAGAAAGGAGGTGAAGATACGAGAAAACATATGGAAAAAAACAATCAAATCTGTAGTTTCTTACTCATTTCTCTATCTATCCATCTATCTATCTATCTATCTATCTATCTATCTATTTATCTATCTATTTATCTATCTATCTATCTATCTATCTATCTATCTATCTATCTATCTATCTATCTATCTATCTATCTATCTACACATCTATCTACCTATCTATCTATCTATCTATCTATCTACACATCTATCTATCTATCTATCTATCTATCTATCTATCTATCTATCCACGCATCTATCTATCTATCTATCTATCCACACATCTATCTATCTATCTATCTATCTATCTATCTATCTATCTATCTATCTATCTATCTATCTATCTATCCACGCATCTATCTATCTATCTATCTATCTATCTATCTATCTATCTATCTATCTATCCACGCATCTATCTATCTATCTATCTATCTATCTATCTATCTATCTATCTATCTATCTATCTATCTATCTATCTATCTATCTATCTATCCACATATCTATCTATCTATCTATCTATCTATCTATCTATCCACGCATCTATCTATCTATCTATCTATCCACACATCTATCTATCTACCTATCTATCTATCTATCTATCTATCTATCCACGCATCTATCTATCTATCTATCTATCCACGCATCTATCTATCTATCTATCTTTATGTCCACAAATTTATCTACATATCTTCTACTATCTTTGAGTTGCTAATTGTTATATTTTATATACACGTTTTTATTTCTATATCCGAATAATAAATTACTCCTTCTGGCTGGATTTAAGAAAAAAAGATTGCAAAAAATTGATTTCAATATGTAACTGAATATTGGTATAATTATATTTGCTTTATATAAGAAAACATTGTAAATTATAATGGTTTTTTGAAAATTAAAAGTGATTAAACAAATGTTCTGCTTTTGGCGAATTGTTTGAACATCTGGACTATCTATTCCTTTCATTTAGATATTTCAACAAGTTATCTCATTTTGTTTATTTTAATGCATCATTATGGTTATTCATCGCATAATCTATTCAAGTGCGTTTCTGTAAAGTGTACAACATTTCGTTGTACAATTTACAAAAGGCATAAATCAGAGATATCGTAATGGCTGGCAATATGTAGCGAAAGAAAATGTACATTATGTTCGATACTAACATCTAACTGGTGATCATTCAATAGTTATCGTTGGGATAGACCAAGAAGTAAGAAAAGGGAACTTATTGAAATGCTTCGTGTTGAGAATTTCATATTGTACCAAAAATATAATATTGAATAGAGCTAATAATAATAATAATAGTAGTAATATAAAACCAGTGTGTGATTTTTAAATCATAAGGGATTAATCCACTTCGTTATTTTTGTCATCATTTATAGTCGACATCCAGTAAAACCTGAAATTTCTCTGACTTTCTCTGTGAGTAAACTTCGTTAATCATCGTTCCTGGAACTTTGGAAATACTTTCATAACTAATCATGAATGAGTCCGAAATTATTTAATATGAGTTGGAAATAATTTCAGTTCGGACATCGTTAGTTCAACTACATCAAGATTCACATTTACATGCTATCAACGAGTCATGAATGTCTTACATTTTGCTTGTAGAGAGATTATTGTTTTGAGTGTTGGAATAGTCTCAGATCATTACAGAACAACTGCACACTGGTTCTAATTGTCATAATCATTCAATTGACGTTAAACTGTGACAAAACGTAACGAAAAATATTTTTAAAAATCTCTGAAATCTACGAAATACATATAAGCAAGTTTTAGCAAGATTTAATAAATATGAATACTATGAGTAATACAACAAATACTGTTATCTGTAAATCAATAGAAAGCTATTACCTACAAAAGAAATTTCACATAATAACTCGTCAGTATTCATTAACAACTTTGTTTTTTTTAAAACAATAGTCGATGAGCTTAACATTTCACAATTTACTATTTTGTACTCAAACAACTGACAACAATTAGAACAGTACATGTGTTACAGATAAACAACATTAAAAATTTTTTGATTGAGAACATGAACCGATTGATGTTAGACGACCATTGAAAACTTGGAGGCACTGGACGGCGATTTTATCCTATTGCGCGACTCCTCAGCAGTGTGCATCCACAATACCGTTTGATGGAGGCTCAATGATCTAGAGGTTAATCGTTCGTGTGAGAAACCGAAGATCCTACATTCAAATCCCTTTGGTGCGGGATCGTTGATGCGCACTGCTGAGGAGACCGATACTAAGACGAAACAGTTGTCCAGTGCCCTCTCCCATTATTTTACTACAGTGTTTTATGAAGCTTAACATTAGAAAGATTATCTGCAAAAGGTTAAAACAGTTTTTGTAAGGTGTCAAGTTAGAATCAATATAATAATAAAATAAATCATGTAATCTGATTGGTCAAGATAATGACAATAATAGTAATATTAATAATAGTAACATTATGTAAAAGAAATATGCAATAGGAGAGATGTTGCCGGAGTACTTCTAAGAAGAGATTCATGTGAAAAAAATATTAACTGGAAAATGAGAAGAAACAATTACAGAAATTCTTAGTTTATCTTATTGCATATTTTGCCTATCTCCCTCTATCTCTCTAACTCTCAGTTAACCAACAATAAAACACACAGAATACACTATATTTGTGTTTTATGAAATTATAGCAACTATCCTACAACCAATCTCGACTACGGTTAATTTTAGTTAAGCCTTAACAACGGACAATGTTAATTGAATAGTAACAGTTCACATATTTCTTTTTATCGTTATGATCACTGGATAACATGAAAGACTCTAGCTAAAATGTTGATTAATTATATATCACTCAATGATTCATCCTCCTCCCCATGTTTATATGTCCTCAAATCCTATTAATAGCCTTTGCTTTGCCTTGTTGTGCTCTTATACAATTCGACTATAAATTTACCTATGTAATTGCTCGTATTTACTTATTTGTCTCTTTGCTTCATATTCGCTTGATGTGCTTATAGTTTTGTGATCTGCACTATCCCACTAATAAATTATAGTTGCCACTTCTTATTGCCTTCTGATTTTAAACACCTTTGAGATTTATATAATAATGGTTATTAGGGTGTTTGGTAAACTAACTAACTAATTAACTTCAGTTGTTAGCGAATAATTAAAACATTGGTCTTATGTAATTTTTCTCTCTGTCTATGACGTACTTATTCCTTAGAATCTAACCTTAAGTAAATATGAACAATCCTAATATGTTTGGATAAAACTGGTTATTCATTTAAACCATAAGTTTATGATAGTTTTGTTAAGAATTTTACAATTTTCCATTATTTGTGCATGTATACTATTGTGGTGTATAGTAATTATGTTGATAGATATAAATAGTATGTAGCAGCAGTTGGAAATGGAATGTTTGCCATAAGAAGATTGGAATAAAGAGAAAAGGAAAGGAAGTAGAAAGAAATTGGAATAACGATCAAATTGGAATGATGAAGAAGTATGTAGAGGACAAATGAAACAAGATGTATAAATAATGTTTTTGATGTATGATTTTCATATTTTATGGAAGCGTTGTTTAATTTTACATTGAACAATAAACTGAGTCTTTGTTCACTACACTATAACTGTATTTCCTATGGTTCTAGTGAAAAGCCGTGACCAGTGGAGTTCAGCTGGGTCTGGTGTGAGATATTAACTCACTGAAAACAATGGTGGACAGTCGCACAATTTCGTAAAGTGGTCGAACTTAGACATTAACACCGTTGGATCCTGGCCACCTCAGTGGTCTAGAGGTCAAGTGTTCGCGTGCGAGACCGAAGGTTCTGGGTTCGAGTCCTACGGGGCGAGATCGTGGTTGTGCACTGCTGAGGAGCCTCATACTAGAACAAAACGGCCATCTAGCGCTTTAAGGTTTTCCATGGTGATCCAGCTTCAACTTTTTCATGAATTCAACTATTAAATTAATAAAAGCTCTAAAAAACCCTTTTCTGATTATAGATAAATATGTTAAGAAGTTTCAGACCAAAAAGATAATTATCTTGCACTTCATGGAAGACAACACATGAAATCGATTAGAAATTATATTCGCTCATAGTTACATAGTAAGCGAGAAAGAAGTGTAATTCGGTTATTTTGAGTAAGTAAATTATTTATGTCTTCAAGATCTTCCTCCATATGTTGTATTTTTGTCTGGTAATCTATCAATATTAAGGAGCTGTCAAACTTTATCATTAAAATTCCTACGATTTTTTAGTCTTTTACTTATGAGCAACTGATTGATGGACCAATTGTTAGTAATGTAATCATAGGTAAGTCAAACAAGAAACTACAATATTATTTTTTAATAGTTCTTTAAATGATATCAGATCATAACGAAAAATATTTCTAAGTGTATCTCTTATATCCAGGAAATATTCCTTTAAATTATTGTAAAAGCTGGGTAGTACATCGTAATGTAGTTCAAAAGCTGAGGTTTTATCCTAGTCAGGACTTGTCAGCTGGTTATAGTTCCATCTCTGTTGATGTTCGCATCGAGACTCTAACCTATTAACTTTCAATTCAAATTAAAACGCATCATCCAATAAATTGTTGAGTCTGGATATTTTCCAGCTTTTGTAACGTCATGAGTTTCAATTCATTTGATTGATTTTAGTCATTAACATCAACAGCAGAATACAAACCCTTACAGTAAAACTTAACTAAATTATTCATTTGTATTGGTTGTTTTCTCAGCCAATACAATTGAATTAAACTTCATCCCATTGCACAAATCAGTGTCTATCTGGACTGAACAGCTAAGTGAAAAACGTAATAGTGTTTGAAGTAAACGATATTGGGTTCAAGTCTCAAAGCGAACATCAACTTTGGGATACAGGTATATCCAGCTGACAAATCCCAAATAAGACGAAACGCACTTTCTGAATTTCACTGCTAGTGAACATTTATATTTCACAAATTACGATTTGAAATTGAATTTACGTACTTAAATGTGGGCAGTGACAAAAAACTCTGATCCTACATGCAAACGAAACTAAAAAAAATTACTTGAATTACATGGAAGTATGCCAATGTTTAAATAGCCATTCAAGTTGATATAACTGAAATAGTAATAATTAAGTTATGAACGAAAACACAACTTATAACAATTGAATCTAATAATCATTTTTGTTTGAATGCTTTTAATGGAAATGTTTTAATTCACCAAATTAACTTATTATAGCCTTTTCAGTTCACAAATCTGTCTGAGTTATGTAATCATGTAAAACCTGTGAGTAGTGTATGGTCGTTTCGTCTTAATATGATACTAGTCATCTATTGTCATAGTGGATAACTGTTTCACATGAGACATTAGTGAGTACCATTAGTCATGGCTTCTCATCAGAACTCCATGTCAGATGTGAGAAAGTTTCTCATTAAAGATAATGGAAGATGATAACACAATATCCCGGACTGATTGTAGTTAGACTTGTACACAATAAAATTCCGGCTTGATGGCTTAAAAGTTAGGCATTCGTGTGCAAGACCCAAGTCCATCGTTCGATTTCCGGTTGAGAGGGAGATTGTTGATGCGCTTTTATGAGGAGTATGATATTAAGAAGAAATGGCCGTAAACTGCTTCCAGGTACTAAATGGTTGTGTAACCTAGATTCCGTGAATACGTTTGCAATAAAAATGAATATGTGAGTGTTTTATAATATAACTAGTTACTACGATATCGTTTTAATTACATATAGTCATTTAGGAATCATTTGCGTAATGAGATAGGGGGCCCTGAAATTTTATGAGTGTCAATAATTACAATCCATGGACCACTTTGATATCTAAAAAAGCGTTTATTTTAGTTGAAGGATCTTAACAGGAGTGATATAATTTAGAGGTTGTATTCACCTAGCTTCTCTCAGCTAAAGTACCAATGAAAATCAAGATACACTAAACAGTTGTTTTGTTCTAGTACCTTTGTCATAGCTTATGTCAAGGTTTCCGGAGTTTTAATGAGAAATTGTGGTTGCTAGAATTTTCGTGACTGTCAACAAAGGCACTAGATGACTATCATGTTATATCGTAAATTGATTAAGGTTGGAATCGTCCAGTGGTTTGACATGGAACCTTAAAATCCTAAGTTCCATCACTGACAGGATTGAATGCACCAACTGCTGAAAAAAAACGATGCCTCATTGCTCTTAATAATATTTCAAATTCGATCAATCTATAACAAAATTAACCAAGATAGACTATATCCTTTTAATGATTTTAAATTAAATAACTATTCAAACTTCAACTATCAGGGAGAACGTATTAAGAAAACATTCCAAACTGTCAATATGAATTTTTTGACTTCAGAAACAAATCTAGTAAAAAAGAAATATAAAACATTTGATATTATCAGAAGGGGTTTTGTGGAGATTTTAGAAATTTCACTGATTGAATTCATAAGTCGATTGAAGTTAGACCACCATGGAAAACCCGGAAGCACTAGATGGCCGTTTCGTCCTAGTGTGGGACTCTTCAACAGTACGCATCCACGATCCCACACCCTGCGAGATTTGATATTAATTTAACGTAAGGATCACTGACTGATTGATTGAATTTTTCAACTTATGGACACTAGATCATAATGTTCTAATCACACTTTCCTTACTAGACTTAAAGCTTGATGAGATAAACCTGAGATTTTTTCCCATTTATTTGGGAAACAATTCACAACACATCATTTATATTCAGTGAAATGAAAAATAAGTGAACATTCCAGACATACACCCACACACACCACACACACACACGCACACGCGTGCGCGCGAAAATACAAAGAGGGGTAAACAAAGAGGTACAGGTATTCGAATCAAAAATGAATAACATTTTAATATGGTTAAAATAAAAAAATTCATAAAATGATTAAGTTAATTAACAGATTTTATCAGCATGTGGTTATTGTTTTGACTAAATCAAAAGA